GGGATGAAATCGTTTAGGGATGAATGAGTTTAAGAGTTTTAAGAGTTTAAGAGTTTTTAAGAGTTTTAGCCAAATGCTTTATAATATAGTATAGATATTAAATATTTTCAATGTTCTAAAAAATAAACCCAACAAAATAATGGAACCATAAATTGAATAAATTTGTAATTACATATTTTCACGTAGGGGGCTTCATTTGAGATCATTCCAAATTGTGAGATTCGATGAGATCCATTTTGGTCCATAAATTATATTTAATTAAAACTTAATAAAAAAACACCGTAATTTTGACTAAATATTTTATATAAAGGGCACAATGGGTATTTTAAAAATCTATCTTTCTTCTCTCCTATTTTCTCTCTGTATCTCTCCTCTCTCATATATCCTCTTTCCGACCATCACCATATAATGTATACAATGGCAAGGTATGATATGTGCATAATATGATAATAACATTCATACTATGTATATACATTTAAGGGTCGTTTATCAAACACTTACCCGATAAGTGTTTATCGGTAAAATTTAACACTATTATTTACTTATCTGGTAAGATTTTAATCCATCAAAACGACATAGTATGCAACAATTCACCCGGTAAGCGCTTACCGTGGTAAGAGCCGTTGCCCTCACTTACCGGGTAAGACTCATGGTTCTTGTCTCACTCTTACCGGGTAAGATTATTAGTCCTTATAATATTCATCCCATGAGGTAATGTGACTTGGTAAATGCTTACCCGGGTAAGTGTTTGGTAAACGGGCCCTTAGTTAGTTTACAATTTGCAGTATGTTTGGTTCACATTGTGATAGTATCACTAGGGCTGGCAATGGGTAAGGTAATGCCAAGGTAAGGGTTAAGTTGTTATTCAATTCATTTTAAAAACCGGTAACAAATTGAAACGAGTAATTATCCATGTCATAAAACTCTTATTCATATCCATACCCTACCCACTAAGAAAGCAGGTAACAAAACGGGTAATGGATAAATTGTAAAAAAAATCATTTTGAACTATAATAGTATTGTTAAACATCAATATATAAGTAAAATAAGTTCATCAATATAATATTTAGTTTATGTCTAATTTGTCCATATTCTACCCATTAAAATATCGGGTAAACGACAAATAGATAAGTGGATAAATAGATAAAATTTTCTTTACCCACACCATTATCCAACAGGTTGAAACATAGCGGTTGACGGGTTTATCCTTATCCATTGCATGCCTTAATTATCACAACATGCACATATACCTAACAATATACACCTTACTGTTTTAGTGTGTTCACAATATGATTTCAGTATGCTCATTATTTTAATATGTTCACAATGTAAATTTAATATGTTTATTATTTGAAACTTTATTGTTTTTATTATGTTCACACTATGCATGGTAGCTAGCGTTATATTTTTTCCTATTTGGACAAAGACGAGAGCGATGGAGGAGGTGAGGAAGGACCATCGATAGAAACAGAGAGAAAAAGAATATAAAGTTGGGTTCACGTGAGATCAAGTTGTTCTTGTGAGACTCATGAGACCACTTTTTTTACACTTGAAACTTCACAGCAAAACTTTGTGAAGATAAAAAAATCTGAAACTTCACAACAAAAACACTGTGTGAAGTTTCAAGTATAAATATGTAGTCTTATGAGTCTCACAAAAATATGCTGATATCACGTGATTTCAAGTCTTTCTCTCTCTCTCTCTCTCTCTCTCTCTTTCTCTCTCTCTCTCTCTCTCTCTCTATATATATACATATGATAATAATTGACTTTCTTAAAAAAATGAATTAAAGAGTTGGCATTAATTAATTACTAAATTAACCTTTCAATTTAATTAATAAATCAAATTAATTGAAGTAGAATGAATCTCATGGATCTTATAAATTTGAAGTTTTCAAATGATTAAACTCTTGTTTATGTAATTGATAGTAAAAAAAGACATGAAATTTTAAAAATAAGATCATCTGCAACAAATTTTTAAAAATTTATCAAGAATAGAGAACACAAAAATCAAAAATTAAAAAAAATCAACTCCAACAATATTAAATATATTATTAATACTAGAAGGGTACTCACGTAATACAACAAGATAAATCTCAATTTTAATGTTTAGTTTTTATTTGGTTTTAAGAAAACGGTAATGTTTTTATTTTTTAATGAAATATAAATTTGAAAATAAATAAATCGATGTTAGTATCAAATTAACAATTTAATGTAGATTTAATAATAATATAATTTTTTATAAAGATAATAATTAAACATTATGTTAAAACTTAACGATTATCYTAATTATATTTTAGATTTTTTATATTTAAAATGATGTTTATCATGTATTTGATTATGTTTATCCGCAGTTAKTTACACGAATTCAAACATGAAGCTTTAGTAAGATGTACTCATGCATATCCTACTTGTAATTTTGAATTTTAAGTAATATGCATTAATAAACAGTACTTTATGCATAAAAAATTATTTTTAAGAGTTTTAGTTAAATGCTTTATAGCATAACTAGAAGCGTACTCGCGCAATGCAGCGAGATACATCGTGTTTTTAATATTTGATTTTATTCTTTATCTCAGTCGATGTTATAATATGAATTTAT